CCCCCCCCCCCCCCCGTCTGTTTGTACCATCACAAGGGTTGCCAGGGCACCACAGCAACAGTTGTCAGGGCACCAGGCGTCTGAGTGGGCAGGGGTTTCCGGGGAGCGGAAGGCGATACTTCCTCCCGTCTCCGCCCTGCCCCCGCCCAGGGCCCGAGCTGGGCCTGCTGGATGTATGGTTTGGCAGGCTCTCACACTGCTCTGTCTGGTGTTGCCAATTGGGAGCCCCCCCTCGAAAACCCTTCTGCTAGGATGCTAAGGGACTGGCCCAGGGGGATGGAACCCGGGCAGCCTGGCTTCCCATCTCCCTTGCTCTAACAACCCACCAGACCCCACTCCCCACCCAGAGCTGAGGTGGAACTGGGGTGTCCTGGCTCACAGCCCTCCCTTGTTGCAACCTCTCCCCAGCAACGAGCAACTTTCTTCTCTTGTGTTTCTGTTTCTGGGTGTCCCTAGAGGGGGGAAGTGGGAGCCTTCTCACCCCAGCTGGGTGGGCAGGAGTGGAGATCCTTGTCTGGCTCAGGAGACTCCTGTCCACCTCAGCCCTTCCCATCAGACACTCCACTAAGGTGTCACCTTGTGAGCCTTGGGGTTTCCATTCAAAATGGTAAGTTTCCTTCCTTTGCCGTGGTGTGAAACCTCCAGCCATTGGCTTCACACCACTGTGTTGGGGTAAAGTTTTTGTGGGGGTTGTTTTGAGGAGCAGCTGAATGAGTGTAGAAGGTGGGAAGGGTAGTTTGGTTGGAAAGGCACCTGCTCAGACAGGGCCTGAAATGTTGGGGGGGCTCCAAGTTTGAGAGCTTAGAGAGTTTTTGGGGGTTCAACAGCTAAGACTCATGCTCTCTTTGCAGTTTGAGGTCTGTGGAAGAGGCAGACATTCTGGGGAGCTCCCTGGAGCAGCCAGGATTCTGGGGCTACACTGTGAAGCTGGGGTGACCCAGTGGGATCTGTCCTAGGGTCCACTCTCCTCTTGCCCCCACATTCCCCAGGGTCTTCTCATCTGGCTCTGTCTCCCCATAAATTTATCAGGGTCTGCCCTGGCCCCTCACAGTTTTCTGTGGCTCCTTTATAAGCTTCTGAACAAAGCAGGATGTAGAGACTAAATGCCACCATCCCCTCCCTACCTCCAGTGAGCTCCACCCCAACTCCCTACCCTGGTGCCCTGAGTTTGCCAGAGGAACTGGGGAGACTGTAGGGTTGAGGCTGTCTTTTTAGACTTGTCAAAAATAGAGAGGAAGCCAGAGGCCCTGGCGGAAACAATTGCTGAAGAGGGACAAGGTGTATTTCTCTAGGGAGAACCCCCATACACATACATATACCAAGTGGTGGGAGGAAGCTGGTGGCTTTGTAATCTGCAAAGGGCAGGGAGGAGCCCCAGATGGGAGTGCAGCTCTCCCTCCCAGCCATCACCTGGAGGTTCCTGCTGGTGCTGGGGAGCATAAAGCCAAGGCTTGAAGACCACATGTCCTATTTTAAGACCAAGGGAACAACCAACTTGGCCTCCCCATCAACCAATCAGCAGCTTGAGCTACATCCCCCTAGATAATGATTTTCAAAGTTCCAAATTTTTCAGCAAATTAAATGCTAAATGACCTACCCCATTCAAGGTTCCATAGCATTCAGCCAATCAGGGACTGTGTTGTGGTCCAAGCCTCATTCTGCCAATCAGAGAGGAGGTGCACCCCTCCCCCACAACCTCAACCAACATATATACAGTTTCAGTCTATAGTGTTATACCGAAAGGATGCAAATTTATTTGAAGTATTTATAATGTCCAGATTCTCTTTTCATAGATTCATAGTTTGAAGAGACCTCACAGATCTTTGAGTCCAGCCCCCTGCTCTAGGCAGGAAGACAACTGAATATTTCCCATTTTTCCAAAGCTCTTCCGCAATCAGTGACAAGTATTCTCAGTCTGGGGGAGTCCTAAACTACCAGCACCCAGTTGTCTTCTGAGTAGGTGGCCAATTACTGTCCCTTCCCAGAACTGGGGGAGATCCCAGGAGTCCTAGCTCCTAGTGGTATGCTAATCCACAAGACTACACTGCTACCCCTTAAGCAGCAACAGAACCCAGAAGTCCTGGCCCCCAGCCCCTCTGCTCCAGCACACCAGACACTCACTCCCTTCCCACAGCTGGGATGGACCTCAGGCTCTCCCCCCTGCTTGTTATCACTAGGCACCTCTGTCCTCCTAGAGCTGGGTTAGGACCCCGGAGTCCTGGCTGCCAGCCTTCCTGCTCTGACCCACCAGACCTCATTCCTCTCCCAAAATTGGGAGAGGAACCAAGGTCCCAGTCTGGGCCAATCTGTGGGGAAGCCTGCAATGCCAGGGAATCCCGGGCTGGCAGTGCCTGCAATGCAATGGTCTGAGAGGGACAGAGGGTGGATGGCTGGTGGGGTCCTTCCCTAGTGGGGAGACACACAGCAAAGGCAAGGACTTAGTGCCCTCCATGTGGTGCCAGCTGGGGAGGGTGTTCTCTCCTGGTTGGGGCCCTATGTTCCAGCCCCCCCAGCCAGCAGACACAGCACATCCCCATCTGGCGCCTCCCTCCTGGGGCTGCTGCCAGCGGTGTGGTGGGAGTTACTATTTATTCAGGCAGAGACACAGAGACAGGGGAAGGGAGAGGAAGAGAGGGAGCGACACAGCCTGCATCTCAGAGGAGTGTCCAGACCTGCCCAGGTACCCTGCTCCCTACTGCTGCCCCTTGCAGTTCCCATTGGTGTGGGGTGGATGCCTGTCTTTTAGTCTGGGTGGGTATGGGGATATCTGTCTGTCTGTTAGGGAGGGAGGAATGTGCTTTTGCAAAGTCTCAAAGTTTGGCTCTACTTGCACAGGGGGAGGTGCTAAGGGGGCTCGCAGGGTGCTGGGTGTTTCCCTATGCTGCTGCTTTTGGGAAAGGGGAGAGAAAAATCCCCTCCTCCCCCACACACCCCCTAAACCACTGCTAGGTGGCTGCTATCACCTCCACCCCCACACACCGTCTGGGAGGCATCTGTACCTCCATAAAGCCACAGCTGGTGCCAGCACAAAGAGAGCACCCCCCACCTCCCAGTGCAGAGACCCAA